CTCCACCAATCAGCTGTTGATTATAACTAATTAATTAAAAAGAATATTTAAAATATAAAAAACTAACTAAAATTACGTGAGTATAAAATATAGATCACCTGGTGCCCTTGTAGTTCTTTGTCTAATGGCCAAAGCCATCCCAAAGAGACCATCAGCTTTCTTATAGGTAGTCAACTCTGCGCAAACTTTATCTTGTGTCTCATTGCTTGGGACCAACCTTTGTATGCATTTATACAGGCCTGACATGACTTCCTTATCTTTCTCAATATTCGGATTTGCGTAAAAATACTCTGGGTTTAAATAATACCCAGCTGCATGCAAAGGCCTATGCAATTGAACATTCCATCTATTGTCAATTATTTCAAAAAACTCCTTGTACTTCTCTTCATTTCCATTAAATGATTTTGCAATGGCTTCTTTAGCCCTATCCATTGCCTCATAAATATATCCCATGGGAGGCTTTCTCTCACCATCAACCAATCACAGTACACGAACAAGAGGACTTGATATTTTGAGAGCATAAAGAACATTGTTCCAAAAAGAAGGCATTAATATGACTTGTGCGGTCTTTTTACCCTGTGGTTCCTTCGCCCATTTGCTTGTGGTCCATTCCTCTGAAGTGAACATCTTCTTTAAGTTGGTTTGTTGTTGATGAATCATTGATAACGTTAGAAAAGCAGTTGCAAATCGAGTTTTTGCTGGCTTGATCAAATCCTTGCACTGGGTAAATTGCCTCATCATATTCAACAAACTAGAGCGTTCACAATATACATGCACCGCAATTTGTCCTTTTTATAATGTCTTGATGAAGTGGGAAATTTTGAAAATGTCCTCAACATTAAAGTCGCAGCAATGAGCTGCACATCGGGTGTCCAATACAAATTTGGCAGTTGCCTCCAAAAAGCTTCCCTATTACAAGTTTTTTTTTTTTTTTAAAAAAGAATAATATGAGAATTGCATATTCATTATTGTAAGTAATAACTAAAATAAATGTATACTACTAAGTTACTAACCGGCCAACACATTTGCTGAGGCCACTATTGTAACACTTGAAACCAGTTGGCTTCAACCAATGCTCCACAAAGTTGTCAAGCATTCAGAACATCTTATTGCATCCTTGGATAAGCTAGAAGCATCAAACAGATTCAATAAACATTGATCTCTGGGCAATTAACAAAAAATTAATTAATGCTTCTGTTTCTTTTTGTCCTTCCAACCCATTGGCCATGTAAAGAGCATCATATGTTAAGCCGCTTATCATCTGTTGTATAGTCGCTGGTCTTATTAGTGTGGTCTACCCTCTGATTAATCGTGAGGGCAAATAGTAGGGAGGTAGACACTTTGCCCTTTGCAGCTCCTTCTAGTGCTTGTATGCACTATTGAATTGAGCGTAGCGTTTCTCACTGCCACGCCGTTAGCTAGTCATATGGCTTTAGTGACAGGCGTTCGCGAGAGATACATTGCCAAGGATCCAACGAGGTTATCTCGGGTCAACGCGATTCGATTTTGATGCCCTCAAAACTACTATGTAGATCACAACACTGAAAGGTATACCCGTATATCATAATACTCCACCACCCCTCGAAACCAAAAAAACAAGAAAAGGCCCCCCGATCCTCTCAACACCTTCTGGCTTAGGATCATTATGCATCAATTCTTGTTTGCTTTCCCTTGGCTTTACGATTTGCAGCCGCAACTTCCGGATCAGGGGTGAAATAACACCATCCATTGGGTCCCTTTTTGCTTTGGTTCTTTCTGGGAACCCCAACAGATTTGGAGGAGTTTACTTTCCTTGTCTCCGACGGGTTAGAACCTTGAGTAGGAAACAGGGCTCTTTACCATTGTGATTTATCTCAAGGAGATATTTCATCATCATACATCGTCATCCATTATCCATGCTCGTCAGAAATCAGGAACCATCCTCCATTGCAACCTTTGATTGACTTTTGAGACCATATAGAGTCTTTTAATTCATTCTTATGACATGGATGGACATTTTTTACAAAGCAACAACATTTTTATAATCCACTAGCAAGATGTTGGCTTGAACTCGGTAAACACCGCTATTCATTCTTCTTTGTCGCAAAAGTTACAAATGAACTTTGAAAGGTTTTGGGGATTTACCATCCGTGCATATTCGCATGCCCGGATCTTTTTTTACTGTCACTAGACTTCGACATTAATTCTATCCAACAAGTAATTCAAGTGTTTCAACATAAGAAATTAAAGAACATATTTTAACAACATTAAAGAACATAAAGAAATTAAAATAGTTGAAATTAATTGAATTAAAATAATTAATTGAATTAAACTAATTAATTGAATAACCAGGCAAATTAAAATAATCAGGAAATTAATTGAATTAAAATAATTAATTGAATAACCAGGAAATTAAAATAACCAGGAAAATTGAATTAAATTAATTGAATAAAATAAACAAATTCATTGAATTAATTGAATTAAACAAATTAATTGAATTAAAATATTAATTGAATAACCAGGAAATTAAAATAATCAGAAAATTAATTGAATTAAAATAAACAAAATTAATTGAATTAAAATAATTAATTGAATAACAGAAAATTAAAAATAACCAGGAAATTAATTGAATTAAATTAATTGAATTAAATAAACAAATTCATTGAATTAAATTGAATTAAACAAATTAATTGAATTAAAATAATTAATTGAATAACCAGGAATTAAAATAATCAGAAAATTAATTGAAATTAAAAAACAACATTAATTGAATTAATTGAATTAAAATAATTAATTGAATAACCAGGAAATAATTAATTGAATTAAATGAATTGAATTAAATAAACAAATTCATTGAATAATTAATTAAACAAATTAATTGAATAAAATAATTAATTGAATAACCAGGAAATTAAAATAATTAGGAAATTAATTGAATTAAAATAAACAAATTAACTGAATTAATTGAATTAAAATAATTAATTGAATAACCAGGAAATTAAAATAATCAGAAAATTAATTGAATTAATTGAACACAAAAGAAAAAAAATAATTGAATTAATTGTGTTAAAATCTACCATCACCTACTCCACCTACCACCACCTACTACCACCTACTACACACCTACCACCTACTACCACCTACTCCACTACATCTCCTATATAAGGAGCCCCTCACCATTTGTAATAAATAACATCAATCAATCAATAATACAATTCTCTATTTCTCTTTATACATTAAATTTTAAAAAAATTAATTTTAAAATAATTGAATTAATTTTAAAAATTAATTTTTGTGAATTAAAAATTAATTTTTGAGAATTAAAAATTAATTTTAAAAAAAAATTGATTTGAACAAAGAAGAAAATTAACCACGAAAAATTGAATTAATTAAAAAATTTAATTGGTTCGACAGTGTTCTTCAACTCGAAGTCGAACAAAGAAGAAGAACAGGTGGTGAAGTCGACCAAGATGAACAGGGTGAAGTCGAACAGGAAAGACAAACAAAGAAAGGAAGAACCAGATGAAGAAGCAACTCACCTCGATTCGATTCGACTTCGGCAGACGATCGATGAACCAGATGAAGAAGAAAGGAAAAAGATCAGAAGAAGAGATTCGACTTCGGCAGATGATCGACGAACCAAGTCGATCTAGGGTTTGGCTTCTTATTTACTAATTAACTTTGTCGATCAAGAGCCCAGATGATTCGAACGAAGTCGAATCAAGGGCCCAGATCACTCGAACTTAAATCAGGCAAAATACAATGAAGCTTCGCTTCTTTCCGCCTCACGCTTCATCGCCTAAGCCTCGCTTCAGGCGCTTCTACATCGCCTCGCCATTTTGCCTCGCCTCAGTACACATGAGGCGAGCGCTTAGGCTCGCCTCTGATAACACTGCTCCAAATTATAAAAAAATATACACTCGGTTTGTTTACAGTTTTCAAAATTTACTTTTCAGAAAATTTTACTTTTTCGTTTTCCGTAATTTTTTTTTGTTTTCACTGAATTTTTTAATATTTTCAGTAATTTTTTTAAATTTTTAGACACACCTAACATAAATACACTTAGAAAGTATAACATTTGTGAAAAAAATCTTTTAAAAATTCACTAAATATCAAAAATACAAAAAAAAAACGAAAATTCAGTATATTTTTCATATTTTTGTATATTTATTAATTTTTTAAAATATTTTTCATAAATAATTTACTATTTAGATACATCTAAGTAAAGTACATTTAAAAAAGTAAAAAAATTACTTAAAACTTTAAAAATATTCACTAAAAAAAATACAAAAAATAAAAAACTCAACTTTTAAAAAACTGAATTCAAGACACTGAAACCAAACACACTGATATATTTTTTTATAATTGTACCAAGCCACATTCGTCCCCCTTTTTTTTTAATTACCTTATGGATATAGGAGTATCGTACCAATACTCATGACCCCCGTACATGTTCTTCATAGTCCATTACTGACTCCGTCACTACCAACTACCTACAGTAAGGTTATCCTAGCATGCAGTCCTCTATAATTCCACTCAGAACATAAACTACAATCTATACCAAAATGGATAGATTCATTGAACAGTGTGTCTCAAACTAATAATAATGACCGAAAGAAAGTTATTGTAGGGACACAGCGGCGAGATGAGTATGATTACAAGAAAATGTATACCACCAAAAGTTTAGCCAACTGCTTGAGTGTAAAGAGATCATAAGGAAAATACGATATACTCTATGGCAGAGCATCTAATTGGTAAATCCTATCTTTAATTTGCAGAAGAAAGAGAGCAAGAGATGGAAACACTCCCAAAGAAAAAAAAAAGCGAATTGAATAAAACCCTAGATGATTGCAAGTTAAAATTGGGCCAGCATTTTGAATTGAGAGAAAAATAAAACATGAAGAGCAAATTGTGGATCGAGTTCAACAACGTATACATGGTAGGTTGGCATTGCAAATAAATTAATAAATTGAAAAAAAAAAAAAGCATCATCGATAGAATAGCATAGGATTTGTGTGTACTCTTTGGAGAGAATGGAAGTGATCTCAAATAAGACGAGCTGGAGAAGGTTGCAGGAGAAGGCGAAGACGACGCTGAAGATGATCTGAACGAGTGCCCTCTTCTCTTCGTACTCTTTGTACAGTCTTCTATTCAAGAACCACAACCCCGCCCATCCCAGCAACATCAACGACCCCACCACCACCACTCCCTCGTAGATCACCCGCCCCCAACCCAAACCCAAAACCAAACCCATCTCTCTCTCCCTCTCTCCCCCCCTCCCCTTTCCTCGTCCTCCGACGATGATTAATAACTCTTTTGGTTGTTTTATGGCTAATTTACATACACAACCCATAGTTTAAACAAAATTCAATTTTCTCCTTTGAATTGGCAAAATTAACAAATAACCCTTATCATTGTTTGTCTTTTAACCTAATTACAACAAATAAAAAGGTAAATCATTATCTTTTCACTACCCTAAATATATCTACATTCCCTCTAAATGCACTTAAAATGGTTAGTTGGACACTCCACACTTTTATTTTTTATTTTATTTTTTCTTTAATGCCATTGTACCAATCTTATGACCATTTACTATCGAAAAATGCTATAAATCTCAAATAATCTATCAATTTTTTTACCAAATCTCTCACATGAGTGTGGGACCCATACAAATCTACATGTGTGTGGGTCTTACACCCATGTGAGAGATTTGGTAAAAAATTTGGTAGATAATTTGAGATCTAGCATAACTCTTTACTACCTTCCCCAGTTAGTGTCACTAGAAACTTAGACAGTCACTCCAGTCTTTTCTCATCATTATCCAACTCTCCACTAACCCTCAACTCTAGTGATCCATCGTCTCATTTCCATCATGCATCTATTTCTCTTTTCTACTAATTTCATCAATTGTCATTGTTGCCACCTGCATAGTTATCCCAAAGCCCTTTTTCGTATCGCCTCATGTTTTATTTTTCCTTGATTTGAAAATATAATGCCTAATTTAGAACCAATGTTGAACAAATAGTGGTGGTTTAGATGTAAACCATTGAACAATAGTGGTAGTTCAGACATAAACCATCAAAAAAATAGTGTTAATTCAAAAGTAGATCGTCGAACCAGATCAAAAGAGATCACAAAGTGTGGTGATGGTTGTGATTGCCAGCAGAAAGAGAAATCACGATTGTGATGTGTTAGCAAAATTCGGTTTAGGCCCCAATTAACAGTGATTGATCGACATGCTTACACAAATCTTAATAAACATAAAAGATTAGACTTTTTGATTGAGTTTTATGCATTAAACAGATTAAGGGCTTCTTTGGAGGTAATTAAATAAAGAAGGATTTGAACAAAAAAGAATATGTATTTACTCAATTAAATTGTTACTTTTTATCAGTTACAAGAAGTCAAACAAGAACAAAGAAATGAAAAATACAGCAATTGACAGAAAGAAAAGAAGTGGGGGTTGGGAAAAGCTATTAGTAATCTACTCCTAATAATTGTTAAATTAAACTACTCCTAGATAAATATCACGTATTGTGAATGGTGGTTGAGATGATTGATTGATCAATTCCATCTTCCTTTTATAGTTGACTCCTAGCCTAGCCCTGATTATGATTTCCCTTGATTCTGTCTCTTTTCATGTTTATCTCCCTATTTTAGGAACTATTCCCTGATTACTCTCTAGATTCTATGTTATCATATTCTTCAGCCTTATTTCTTCAGTCTCACTTTATGCTATGTTAGCTATTTTAGCCATCCTTGCCACGTTATCGCTATGACCTGTCGATGGAAGATTCCTAAATTTTAGCACCAACAATGCCCCCTTCATTCATGGTAAAAAGAAAATCTTTTGCCTTGAATGATATTGGTCTTGAATTTTGCTTCTGGGCCTAATGTTTTTAAATTTCTTTGGGCCGCTTAACCGTTCACAGGCCCATCAGTATCCTTTCACTTTTTCTGTTTTTATTTCTTATTTTGGGCCTCTCGCGACGGTACTTAAAGTTTTTGAAATTCTCCATTTTCGCTACTTTTTTCTTCTAGAAAACTTTTTCTAACTCTTTCTCTTCCTCTGAAACCAAGAAACCTTAACTTCTTCAGCCATGTCTTCCGACTCAAATTCTGACCTAGTTCGTCGATTCTCACAAGAGATCATCCAACTCATCGAAAGCAGCAAGTTCAATTCCCAAATCACGGCCAACCTTACTATCGATGCTTAGAAACTTGGTCCTTGTGTTTTGAACACTTTTCCAAACAGTCTGACTTCGTACTACCCCATTGCTGATGGTGAGACCCTTCTCCTAGACCAGTCTTCCCTCTTATGGCTGAACTAGTCGACGGGTCCCAGATTATGTGTCACACCCCAAACCCGCCCCTAAAAGTTTGGGCATGACCTCTTTAGAGACGGACATGTAACCTGGTAATATAACATACGGGGCCTTATCGGAAGCACAAAAATAAATAGATAAATAATAATGAACAATTAAACTCCATTGAGCTACTCCTACATGCCAGGATCTCATTCATCACATGCATTATACCGGATAAATAAAGTTCCAAACTATATCCCAGAGTATGTACATACACATTTACAGTTCCAGCCCTAAAGTTGGGCGTATACAAAAACAAACATGAAAGGTATATACAACAACCTTAGATGGACACTCATAAGCAAACCAACATCTTGACAACTTAAGAAATTAAATGACTTAAACAGTGCCTGAACATATGAAGGTTGACAAAAGGAAGTGGCGTCTTGGCTAGGACTGACCGCCTGATTAGTGACCTACAGAAACAGACATAACAGAGGGTGAGCCGGGCTCAGTGAATAGTAATACATAAATAAACCAATGCTTAACTTGAAACATAATTCATATCAATGAATAAAAAGGTGCAGAGTTCACATAGTTAGTCTGAATCTGTGCAAAGTACATAACGGCCTTAGGCCCAATCCTGCAACATAAACATAATGGCTATAAAGCCTTTGAAACATGGTGGCACGAGGCCCTTGAAACGTTTGGCACGAGGCCCTTGTAACTTGTGGCATAAAGCCCTTGTAACATATGGCACTAAGGCCCTTGAAAATGGCATGAAGCCCTTGCAAACATATTGGCATTAAAGCCCTTGAAAATGGCATGAAGCCCTTGTAAACATATTGGCATTAAAGCCCTTGTAAATGGCATGAAGCCCTTGAAAGTTGCAGGAGAAGGCGAAGACGACGCTGAAGATGATCTGAACGAGTGCCCTCTTCTCTTCGTACTCTTTGTACAGTCTTCTATTCAAGAACCACAACCCCGCCCATCCCAGCAACATCAACGACCCCACCACCACCACTCCCTCGTAGATCACCCGCCCCCAACCCAAACCCAAAACCAAACCCATCTCTCTCTCTCTCTCTCTCTCTCTCTCTCCCCCCTCCGACGATGATTAATAACTCTTTTGGTTGTTTTATGGCTAATTTACAAACACAACCCAAAGTTTAAACAAAATTCAATTTTCTCCTTTGAATTGGCAAAATTAACAAATAACCCTTATCATTGTTTTTCTTTTAACCTAATTACAACAAATAAAAAGGTAAATCATTATCTTTTTACTACCCCAAATATATCTATATTCGCTCTAAATGCACTTCAAATGGTTAGTTGGACACTCCCACACTTTCATTTTTTATTTTATTTTTTCTTTAATGCCATTATACCAATCTTATAACCATTTACTATCGAAAAATGCTATAAATTCCAAATAATCTATTAAATTTTTTACCAAATCTCTCACATATGGGACCCATACAAACCCATATATGTATGGGTCTCACACTCATGTGAGAGATTTGGTAAAAAATTTGATAGATAATTTGGGATCTCTAGCACAACTCTTTACTACCTTGCCCAGTTAGTGTCACTAGAAACTTAGACAGTCACTCTAGTCTTTTTTCCTTCTTCTCCAACTCTCCACTAACCCTCAACTCTAGTGATCAATCGTCTCATTTCCATCATGCATCAATTTCTCTTTTCTACTAATTTCATCAACTGTCATCGTTGCCACATAGTTATCCCAAAGTCCTTTTTCATATCGCCTCATGTTTCATTTTTTCTTGATTTGAAAATATAACGCCTAATTCAGAACCAATGTTGAACAAATAGTGGTGGTTTAGATGTAAACCATCGAACAATAGTGGTAGTTCAGACATAAACCATCAAAAAAATAGTGTTAATTCGAAAGTAGATCGTCGAACCAGATCAAAAGAGATCACAAAGTGTAGTGATGGTTGTGATTGCCAGCAGAAAGAGAAATCACGATTGTGATGTGTTAGCAAAAATTCGGTTTAGGCACCAATTAACAGTGATTGATCAACATGCTTAAACAAATCTTAATAAACATAAAAGATTAGACTTTGTGATTGAGTTTTATGTATTAAACAGATTAAGGACTTCCTTGGAGGTAATTAAATAAAGAAGGATTTGAACAAAAAAGAATATGTATTTACTGAATTAAATTGTTACTTGTTATCAGTTACAAGAAGTCAAACAAGAACAAAGAAATGAAAAATACAGCAATTGATAGAAAGAAAAGAAATGGGGGTTGGGAAAAACTATTAGTAATCTACTCCTAATAATTGTTAAATTAAACTACTCCTAGATAAATATCACGTATTGTGAATGGTGGTTGAGATGATTGATTGATCGATTCCATCTTCCTTTTATAGTTGACTCCTAGCCTAGCCCTGATTATGATTTCCCTTGATTCTGTCTCTTTTCATGTTTCTCCCTATTTTAGGAACTATTCCCTGATTACTCTCTAGATTCTATGTTATCATCTTCTTTAGCCTTATTTCTTCAGTCTCACTTTATGCTATGTTAGCTATTTTAGCCATCCTTGCCACGTTATCGCTATGACCTGTCGATGGAAGATTCCTAAATTTTAGCACCAACAATGCCCCCTTCATTCATGGTAAAAAGAAAATCTTTTGCCTTGAATGATATTGGTCTTGAATTTTGCTTCTGGGCCTAATGTTTTTAAATTTCTTTGGGCCGCTTAACAATTCACAGGCCCGTCAGTATCCTTTCACTTTTTTTGTTTTTATTTCTTATTTTGGGCCTCTCGCGACGGTACTTAAAGTTTTTGAAATTCTCCATTTTCACTACTTTTTTCTTCTAGCAAACTTTTTCTAACTCTTTCTCTTCCTCTGAAACCAAGAAACCCTAACTTCTTCAGCCATGTCTTCCGACTCAAATTCTGACCTAGTTCGTCGATTCTCACAAGATATCATCCAACTCATCGAAAG